TAACAAAATACATACATATATATCAGCTGTTTTTCTTACACTCTTTACTACAAAAGATAAAGGCAGTGTTAAAAAAATATTCCGCATGCGTAAAAATGTGTAGAGTAAATAACGAAAATAAATAATAAAAAAAAATACATAATTCAATGCGGGCGCTCAACGTTGCGTATGCGCAATATTTGAGTGTCCAATAGATTATTTCATAGTGATGGGCTCGTGAAAATGTTGATATAGATGCATAGTTATGACCATAATATATATGAGTAAATCATTTTCCAATTCAATAATGCGCTAATGTTTCTTGTGAATTGAAAGGCATTTTCTCTAAATTCATAATGCATTGAATGAAGCTATTGAGCTTAAGCTTCACTATTATTTGATAATCAAAACTCGTTTTTATAGTACAAATTAAAAAAATGAAATTTGAAATATATAAAATCATAATATATAAAGCGGAACTTGTTGTTCTGATTAGATTTTGCTATTACCAGTTTTTACGACTTCAAAAACTCTAAAATAAAAACTAGTCTAGCAGAAAATTTAATTTTTGGGCGGAAACAGTAGCTCCCGTTCAGCTGTTAATTAATGTTTTATGGCTTTCTTCGTTGTTTTGAATTTCCGTGATCGTTCAGCAGTGAGTTAACAAAATGCCAATTACTTTAATAATATAAAAGCTATTTATGTGATTCTTTTCAATTGTAGGTCGATCTAATAAAATAAGAAAACGGTAGTGAAAATTTGATTTAGTTTGTAAGCTTGTTGTCACTATCATCAAACGTGTAGCTAACAAGTCCTTTCCAGAGTTAATCAATGCTACTAAGATAGCTTAAGAACTTTTAAAAAGAATTATAGTTAAATGAAATGGTTATACATTACTCTTAGTTGTAAAAAATAGATTTGTGTGTCAGTGTTAAATTCATATATTTTGATTCTATCAAGTGAAGCTTGCACTAACAATTATAACTCATCAGAAAATGTCTTTTGAAGAAGTACCGCAAAGCGGCAATCCAAATCTGTTATATAAAGGCTTTCATAAACACCTCACGCACACATATTTAGCATTTTTCTACAGCTTAATAGACTTTGACGTTGATGCGCGTAGCCCGTAGCTGTCAGAAAAGAAAAAATACGCCGATAATGAATTAAACAAAATGCGTGGACAGGCTGAGAATATTTCAATGAAACTGGAACCCGTAAATGGAGTTTTTAAATAACAAAACAGAATCTAAGAGGTCGCTGCTGTCAAAACAGCAAAAAACAGAAAAGCAACAACAACAAAATACTTGTAGAAAATAAAACAAGACATAGAATGGTCGATTGGAGTGTTGAGCTTAGCGCCAAAACTCTATTCACGAGTTCAACGCCACACGCCGCTTCACGTCCCTTCTGCTCCCCCTTCTCCATCGGAAAGTGTAAAACATGCGATAAGCAACGGCCTTGCCAATTAGCATTGGAGGCCACGCCTCCAGCCTCTCTCAGTTGTTGTTGTTGTTGTTGTTGCCTTTCAAAGCGCTTCAAATGTGATTTTTTCGTTCCACTATGCGCTGCCAATTTGGGTCTAGAGGTGTGAAAAGTCGATAAACAGACACTTGTTGCTCTGCAAACATTGCCTCTCCCTCTCTCTCTCTATCTCTGGTATCTCTCTTTATAGCTGCAAATATACACATGCTATTTATGTATGTACATACATGCATATATCTGCATTGTCAGTTGTACAATTTGTATTTCTCATTACTTACCTGAGCTCCATATCGGTCCGCTATCTTTTCGCAACTCGTCATTTGTTTGCCTTCCGCTGCGCGTGCGTGCAAATATTAAAATTGATGCGAGGCCCCCTTAATTGCGGACATGGCTTTCTTTCTGCTCTACCTGTGCGCCTAAATTTTAGACATGCCTAAAATACTATCGACAGCTCTGTGCGGAGCTTAATGCCGCGGCACGTAATTGCCCGATATGAGTGTTTCTGAACATGCACACAAAAATAATGTGTCTCTTTCGCAGGTGGTGTTGTGTGTGGGTATAACATTCTTTTTCTTTTTTTTTTTAGTTCCATTTGAGCGTGCGGCAAAACATTGAATTGTTCTTTGAAGCTTTTGGAATTTCACGGTTTTGTTGTGATAAACAATTTTGTGGTATTATTTTTATAGAAACACTTTAAGTCATGTTCAACAACGTGTACCTTTATTCATTTACATATTTTTAGTTTATTTTGTTAATTGATGAAGTGCACATAGACATAGTTGTACATATATGTCTACTGCCTATGTAGAGTACACCTACATAATTCTGTATTAACACGGTCTTTTTTTTTACACCGTTTTAATATAACACACTTTGAAAATTAAAATTTTTTTATATGATTGCATGACTTTATTCCATTTAGCACAATTCAAAATAACATTTGATCAATGTTTTTTTTACACGGTTTTTTACACGACTTTTTCTAGATCCATCCTCCGTGTAAAAACAGAATTAGGTGTATATTCAATAAAAACATTTAGGAACTTTTCCTGTTCGATTCGAGGATTCCAGCATGACTTTTTGATACGCTATGAATTAAGTATGATGCATGAAACTAGCAGCAGTCTTTGATGACTCAGTTCCCCCTTTAACCCATTTGGAGGGCCTGTTGGTGAGCGGCGAGTTTCATTTAACAATTATGTTATTCTTTCAGATACCTTTGCTTATGAACTTAGACTTAGACTCAACAACATAGTCGCATAGTGATAAGATATATTTTTCAAGGGACTAGTCCCGACAGCTAACACTTAAAAGTGTTTCAATATAATATATTATTTTAAAAGTAACGGCATACATAAAGTTTAATTCAAATTTGTAAATATGCTTTAATGTGTGATTTAAAGCGTAAATGGTTTAAAAAGCCTTTATTTAAGTAAAGACAGCGAGATGAGGAACTAAAATTGAAATAATTCAAGTTTTTCCATATTTTGGAGGTCAGATATCTAAGACTTTTTCTTTTATTTCTTAAGTTGTTTAAAAGTTTGATATACAATTTTTAACATACATTTTAATGCAACCCACTTGAATAATATACTATGTATAAAGTTTTTCCATATTTTGGATGCATTTTTTTTTGCACGTCAGATATCTATGACTTTTCCTTTTGTTTCTTAGGTTATTTAAAGATTTTTTTTAATATTTCTGAAAAGTTTGATATTAAATTATTAACATACTATATTATTCAAGCGGGTAGCATTAAAATGTATGTATAAAAGAAAATCGTTGTGCTTTTCTGTTACCAATTTTATACAAATATTGTGTTTCGATTTCCTAAAGAAACTCAAATAAATGTATAGTTCATTTGCTTACAATGTTTTGAGGAAATTCCAGTCTTAAAAAAAAACCTATTTTATCGGCCTTTAATGGTCGATCTAGGAGTTTTTAAAGTTGTTAAAAACTTTTTTGCAAACTGTTCTCTTTTAACATTTCCAATTAATCCCCCTAAGCCCTTGGACTTTTAATCTCCAATCTATATTTGTTTTTTAATGACAATTTCATAATTATAACAATTGAGCTTGAAGTTCCGCGCGCGCATTATTATTGTTTTTTTCCCCCCTGGTTCTCTAATAATTTGCAATTTGAAAACTTAAATCGTCTGTAACCGAAAAAGCTAAACCTGCCAACGCTAAACACAAACTGTCAACACACCTTGCGGCGCGTGCGTCATGGTCGGAGTCGGGGCCGGGGTCGGGGTAGGTGCAGGGGCATGCACCTCAAGTCGTTGACAGCTGCTTTTGGCTCACACTCACACACACACGCACACACAGAAGTTGAGAAGGGCGCTCCGTTTGCAGGCGATTTTTGCCAATGTTGGCGTATTTATTACCTCATCACGTACCGCAGAACTCGCACACGCAGCGCCTGAGACGCCAGAGGGGCGCTCAGGTTACTCGGACTGCCACGCGCCATCATCGACATCAGCAACAACAACAAGGGAAGCAGCTGCTGCAGCTGCATAGGCATGACTGATTGATATTGGGCGAGCGTCGTGTGGCTCGAGTCAGTGGTTGTGGTCCGTTGATCCAGCATTGCGCGGCCGTTGCCCAACTTTTTAACTATTTTTCTAAGCTGCTAAACAGCGTCAACTGACCGTTGGCTGTGGGTTTGTCGTTGCCGCCTGTTAGGCGGCGGTCGGCTTGGCGTCGCGGCTCTCTGGCGACGTCTAGATCACATTCTTACCAGCCCCATGGCATTCTTAATTGTTGTCCATGTCCAGTTCGATCTCGTTTGTCTTTTTACAGATGTAGCCATTTATCTAACGCTCTGTACGCACCTCGCATTCGCACTTGATCTATTGATCTTCGTATTCGATTCGCTAATGAGAATGGCACAGTGGTGCAGCAACAATGTGGCGCTAATGAGTATATTTACAAATGGCGCCCAATATGGGGCCAAAAATGGTCTTATTGCTTGAATAATCAACAATTAATAAAGAGGCGCCCAATATGGGGCCCAAAAATGGTGTCATAGCTGGATTAATCAACAATTAATAAAGAGGCGCCCAATGTGGGGCCCAAAAATGGTGTCATAACTTGATTAATCAACAATTAATAAAGAGGCGCCCAATGTGGGGCCCAAATCGAGTATATTCAATGAAAATTTGTAGCCAGAAAAGGTGAGAAGTTTGTATTTACTCTGATAAGCGGTAAACGTCTACATTCAAACAATTGCCAAGGCACTAACTGGTGAGCTTTAACGACCACTGTGCCTGCATCAGTACCTGTTTGCCTTGTAGTTCAATGCACTAGCCGTTTGGCAAACAATTTATGAGCTGCGGCTGCTGTAGTAGTGTCCAACCAGTTGGCAAGCAGCTAGGCGGAATTATGACGATTGACTGTGGGCTTTGGCCTGTGGTCTGTGATCCGCCATCGATTGCCTGTGGCTGTGGTGGTGGCTGTGTGCTTATTTGTAAACAATTGTGGGCAGTCTGTTACCATTCCCGACTACATATTTCTTGCATTTTATCGACCCACTTGCAGAGACACACTGTACCGCATGTCCTTCGATTTAAAGCCGCTGGAGCGGGCCAACTGGGAGGCAACGCCGGAGCAGATTGCCATGTGCCTGGTGAAAGGCCAGTCGGAGCGTTTGTGTCGCAACTATGTGCGCGTACTCCACAGCTATGGTGAGAACCAATTGTACGTGTGTGGGACGAACGCCTTTCAGCCAAGTTGTTCGTGGCGCCAGGTGAGTTGGCTGAGCGATGTGAAGGTTGTAACCAACGTGTTGTGAACTAACTTTGGCGCCACCGCTTGTCGTGGTCGCTGCTGTTTTTATTATTTTATTGTCGTTGTGCAGATGGAAAATCTAAATGTGAGCCACTACGATGAGGGTGTGGTCAAGTGTCCGTTTCATCCGCAAGCAAACAGCACCAGCCTCCTATTGGCCAACGGCAACTTGTTTGTGGGAACAGCCACTGATTTCTCAGGCAGCGATGCGGCCATAATGCGCACGGAAGTGCAGGCACAAAATGTAAGTGTCCTCATATATTTAATTTCTATTCAAACTTATTACAATAACATTTTTTTTGCAGTCGGAACGGAGTCGTTTCTTGCGCACGAAGCAGTACAATAATCATTGGCTGAATGGGGCACAGTTTGTGGGCAGCTTTGAGGCGGGAAATTTTGTCTACTTTCTGCTTCGCGAATCGGCAGCCGAGCACATGAGCTGTGGAAAGGTAAGGGGGTGTACTCTAAGGCCCCACTTAGCCGTTATATCTGTATATGTCTTTCCATTTTAGGCTATGTACTCGAGAATAGCACGAGTGTGCAAGAACGACGCAGGCGGGGACCAGTTTCTGCGCGATAATTGGACCTCGTTCTTGAAGGCACGTCTCAATTGCTCGTTGCCCGGGGAATACCCCTATTACTTTGACGAAATACAGGGCATGAGCTATGCGGAGGCAGAACAAGTGCTTTACGCGACATTTACAACAACAGGGTAGGTCAACGAATCACAAATGCAAAAATGATAAAAATGTCAATAAGATATTAACTGGAAAAAAGAATTGAATTTGAAGACTGAAGAAAAAGGCGTAATAGAAGGAAAGAATAGACACTAGCATTGAAGGTTTCAGAAGATTCACTTCACGTAAATTAACAGCACTTTTCTTTAATTATGCAAATTATTTATTGAACAAAGAATTGAAAAGATTTGAAAACAGAAGAAAAAGGAGGATAGAATAGACACTAAGATTAAATATTTCAGAAGATTCGCCTCACGTAAATTTACAGTTGAGCAAAAGAGAGAAGAACTTTATTTCATTTGTATTGACAAAAATTTACTTTTTCTTTAATTATGCAACTTATTTATAAAAGAAAGAATTGAATTTGAAGACTGAAGGAAAAGGCCTAATAGAATAAAAGAATAGACACTAAGATTAAATATTTCAGAAGATTCGCCTCACGCAAATTTACAGTTGAGCAAAAGAGAGAAGAACTTTATTTCATTTGTATTGACAAAACTTTACTTTTTCTTTAATTATGCAACTTATTTATAAAAGAAAGAATTGAATTTGAAGACTGGTGAAAAAGATAATAGAACGAACTAAGAATAGTTTCGTGAGGGACTGATGATTTCTAATTTATAAATTCCTTTGCTCTTCATTTATTTAAACCCAAAATCGTTTAGTCTTAAGTGTCAGACTCAGTCTAGTAGGATAGCAAGAATTTACTCTTATTTATATTTATTTCGTTGCTATTCCAACAGAAACAGCATTTATGGATCTGCTGTCTGCGCCTTCAATCTAAGCGCGATTAATGCAGCCTTCGATGGACCGTTTAGACATCAGGAGCATGCGGATGCAGTCTGGAAAACCGTAAACACGCCACGTCGTAGTCAATTCCAGTGCGTCGCCAGCTCTACTAGCTCCAATGTGCGCTATGGGCACCTCCTGGAGAGCTCTCGTTATCAGCTGATGGATCAGGCAGTGCAACCCATTGGCTCCCGCCCCCTGTACCACTCCAAGCTGGAGCGTTTCAAGCAGATTGCATTGGACGTGCTGCACACGAAGACGGAGAAGCTGCATGTGTTGTATGTGGCGAGCAGCCAGAACCACATCAAGAAGTTGTCCGTGAAGTATGCAGCGAATTATGAGCATGCCCAGACGTGTCTGGTGGAGCTGTGGCAAGCGGATGACACGGGAATGAGCACATTGCTGAACATGGCTTATCTCAAGTTTAGCGATTCACTGTACCTCGGCACAGATCTGGCACTGACTCGCATACCCGCGGAACGCTGCAGTCGACACATGTCGCAGACGAGCTGCATCAATGCCATGGATCCGTATTGCGGCTGGAACGAGCTGGTGGAGCGTTGCACGCCCCAGCTGCTGGATCCGCAGCTGCATAAGTACTGGAAACAGGCGGCGGTGCTGACCTGTCCGGTGCACGACATTATCGATGGCGGCTGGTCCTCGTGGTCAGAGTGGTCGGTATGTCAGCAGGCTGGCTCGGAGGACACGAACTGTTTGTGCCGGCGGCGTAGTTGCAACAATCCGCAACCACAGCGTGGCGGACGGAACTGCGAAGGCATTAGCATGCAGGTGAGCAACTGCACCGTGCATGGCAATTGGACGGAGTGGTCGGACTGGTCCCCCTGCACCCAAACGTGCGGCATTGCGGTGAAGACCCGCTCCCGCACCTGTGGCAACCCCAGACCGGCTCACGGTGGACGCATCTGTGTGGGCTCTGCGCAATCGCAAATGTACTGCAGCCACTTACCGCCTTGTCCGATGCCCAAGGCTCCTGCCGTCGATGGCGGCTGGGGACCCTGGGGCGAGTGGAGCGAATGCAGTGCTCAGTGTGGCGGCGGCTTTCGCATGCGTCGACGTGAATGCAACGATCCGATCCCACACAATGGGGGACAGGATTGTCCTGGCTGCTCCCTCGACTACGAGGATTGCAATATGCAGAGCTGCACGGAAGTGCGCAAGCTTAGTGCCTGGACGCCCTGGATGGTGCAGTGGAACGAGGGCGAAAATATGACTGAAACGGGTGGCCATGTCGAGAAACGCTATCGCTATGCTTGTCGAGCTACCAGTGGCGACGCCAGCTCTGTAAGAATAGGCCTCGCCAAGGAGGAGACACGCAACTGCCGTGCGGATGGCAGCTGTCAACGACATGCCGAGCACGATAATCAGGAAACGGCGGAACCCAGCTCCGAATGGGGGCCCTGCAGCGTGAGTTGCGGCGGTGGAGTCCAGCAGCGACTGCACGAGGGCAAGCATCGCGGACGTCATTCGCAGAGTCGCGCCTGTAATCTGCAGCCCTGCAGCTCCGATTCGGACAGCAATAGCCTGAGTAACGAGCTGCTCGGCACTCACGAATGGAGCTGCTGGTCCGAGTGGTCCCCCTGTTCGGTCACGTGTGGCATTGGTCTGAAACGTCGCACGCGCAAATGCTTGGGCGGACATGAGCGCCTGTGCCAGGGACGCGCCCTAGACGAGGAGAAGTGCGAGAGGGCGCCATGCGAAGGTGAGTTTGGAAAAGTCTTTAACGCCAAATTGGCATACTTATATTTAATAAGCTAAGAAGTCAAGTCACTCAAAGTCAGTGTTTTGAATGCTATGAATGCGAACAAGAGAGAACGCTACTGTCGAGCGAGCCCGACAGTGTAATACCCTGTACCCAGATATTCTTGCTTCAATAACTTTTCTAAGAATTGAACGATTTGTATGAAATATGAATCAAAAGTAGATAACTATCTATTAATTACATGTGTGCAAAGTTTAATTTATGTAGATTTGAAAATGTGCACAGTATTGGCAAAATTCTGTAGCGGGGGGGGGGGGGGGGGGGGGGGGTGGGGAGGGAAAATCAAAAAAATTAAATAAACTCGTATTGACTAGGGACTAGGAGCGTCTACATACCAAGTTTGGTTAATGTGCGCTCAAGCGTTTCTGAAAACCGGGCGTTCATACAGACAGACGTATGGACAGACGGACGGACATGTCTAGATCTATTTCTCTCATCATGCTGATCAATAAAAAATTTACTTTAGGGGGTCGGAGATGCTTCCCTCTGCCTGTTACATACGGGTACAAGGTATAATAAACAAAGTGTAATTAAAAAATCTTTGCTTAAATTGAGATCGGTAGATGTATATTTAAAGATAATGAGGGTCCAGTTCGCTTTCCTACGAGTATCGTAAATTATTTGTAACTTATAGTTAATATTTATTTTGTTAAATAATATATTATGCAAAATTCAATTCAAATACAACTAATCTATTTTATTTAGTTCTTAAGAGGAAGATTTAGGATCTTCCTTTGAGGCAACTAATTATAAATATTTCAAAGTAACCTGAAAAAACGTTTGGGAACTTTAATTTAGAAACGCGATTGCTCTTAATATTTAAAAAAAAAAAACAATGTACATCAGTGAAAAACAGTTACTAATCTTATTTCTTCCCTGCAGACTTTCTTGGCTGGAGCTCTTGGAGCGAGTGGTCTTCCTGCAGCAGCGATGGCATACGACTCCGTCATCGTAACTGCCTCATCGAGCAGCCCACTTCGCTGGAATGCCGCGGCGCCGAATACGAGAAAACCGCCTGTGTGCCCGGCGAGTGTCAGAGTAAGTTGTTGCTCTTGTTGTTCGTCCTTTTTGGGCTCAGCTCCAATATTCATCGATTCATTTGCAATTTCAGAGCTACACACCGCATCAACCGTTGCATTACCCATAACGATTATGGCTGGGATTGTGCTATGCTTCTTAACATTTTATCTGACACGTCGTCGCTATATGCTGTCCAATATAGAGGCGCTGAACAAGACGACGACAACAACAGCGAGCTTCGATTCGTATCCGAATCAGTATTCCAGCTTGCCGACCAAGGATGTGAGTACAGAACTCTTCGGAGTGAACTGAAGCATCAACTATATAGTATTCTTTATATTGCAGTACTACGATGCACGACCTAAGCGGCAGTCGAGCTTCCGCATGCCCGCCAAGAACAGCAATGTGGGCGGTGGCGGCACCCTCAACCGCAACAACATGAACCACAACAACACACCCAAGGTGCTGGCCAAAACCTACAATGATTGCGAGACGGGCACATTGAAGCGCAACTCGGCGCTCAATAATTGCCGCAGCAATATCGACGATGAGAAGTTCTAGATCGTAGGACTGATCGTTCATTCAGTGCCATGTTTGCCTTCTGTAGTCTATAGATTGTTTACAACGACCACAACAACACCAACAACATCAACAACATCAACAACAACAACAACAACGACAACACATTTTGCAGAAGCACTGCAAGAAGTTCCTTTTCTCACTCATATTGAGTGGCTTAGCCCTTAGTTAATATTATTAGTTTTAGCTAGCCCTAACTGGTTAATATATACGCAATTGTTAGGTTTAGAGACAATGATCTGAATTCAGCATCAATCAGATATCGAGACTGAAGCATATATTTATAAAAATGTGTCCAATCTTATGCCGCCATGTTGGGAGAAATGTAAGAAAGTCTGTTTCAATTTTCTTTTTCTCTTATTTATCGATTCGTGTATTTTGTAAAGTTAATTTAATGTATGTATATACACAATAGCTTGTTAAATTTAGTGCTTAAATAAAAAAAATATGATAGGGTATATTTTATTAAAAATATACCAACAGTTTTACTAACAAATCGTTAGCTTTCATTTCGCTGATAACAAAGGGTATTCAATTATTTGTATTTAATTTAATAAGGCAGATTTTTTAAATTTTGCGAATACTTTTTACACAAAATAAAATATTTAAACAAACAGATTGATTAATGAATCACGCATATTAGATTTTTAGAGCTCTTCTGAGTGTCTTTAAGAAAAAGAGAAAAATGTTTGATCGATTTTGATAAAATTGTTCGAGTTATGTGTTGTTCTCTTCACAGTTTCTCAGATAATGGGTCTAGGAATTGCTTGTTTCCACTCCATGTGTATCGCTTGCAACAGGAACTGTTTGGTTAGATCATCTTAAAAGCCGAATATCGTAAATTTTAGGGTAACTCTTAGCTTAACAGGTGCAAGTCTCAGTTTCGTCGAAAAGTCTGAAGTGTGAATTACAACAAAGTTTTTTTTTTTTTTAAAAAAGAAAAAAAGGCCCACGCAGCAAATAATATTTGCAAGCCCAAGGAATCGCGAAATAATATTGGGCTGATTAGGCCCATAAGCGTATTGGAGGGTTCTTTAAGCAGAAGTGCATCTCAAACCCATCGCATTAAATAAATAAAAAAAAAATATCACTCAAGTTTTGCATTTTTTGTTCAATGCAGCTGATCGATCTGAATGGAACTCAGTACTCTAACATACGCGAAGCAGCTACCAGCGCCGTCGAATCTACGCTGCTAAGTTTTACTCGCGTTTAAATTATTGACTTAATTAGTTGCCGGAAAGATGTTAAATGAAGCTAGAAATTGTTGTTCTCGGCGGTAAAACGCTAATTTTAGTTGCTAAAATCCAAATAATGGCCATTCAGCATTGTAATAAAGCCATAGGCTCTTTTTTTAAGCTCATCACTAAGTTTTAAGAGAGCACATGGCAGAATTTTAATAATTCTTTTAAATCTTTGCTCTCGAATTCCAGAGAGGAAAAAACCGTTTCTTCGAATAGTCAAGAAGAAGAGCGGGAGAGTTTTTTTTTATATGTTTGAGTGTTTTCTTACGAGTGAGTTTTTTTTAATTATAGTGAAGGAAAAACAAGAACGAACTTTTTATTTGTGTCTACATACTAGATGGTTGGATTTTATTCCCATCACGGGCACCTATAATTTTCCAGATGCGGTCACATCGGGAAATAACTTTCTACGATGGATAACGCCAAGTAAGTCTTTTCGCAAATCTTTTCTTATTATTTTGTGTATTTTGTGCACTATTACAAAAAAAAAAAGCTTAACTAAAGAGGTAAGACTCACAAAGTTTAGTTCAATACGAAGCTCACTTGCTTCAAGTCAATTTTTATATCATTTTTTTAAATTACTGCCATTTTATTTGCATTGCCAAAAGCTTTCTAATTTGAAAGTAAATCTAAAGAAAGTACATTTTATTTCATTTGATTCCTCGTTTATAAATTATTTACGAAATTTTTATATTTTATTTTTTGTTCAAGCCCATAATATTTTATTTATATTTTTTAAGCATTTATACGCGTTTAATTTAAATTTTTTTTATTATGCATACATACATAGGTCACACTTTTAATTCTTTGTTGTTATGAAGTTAATGCTTTTTGCTATGTTAGTCATGCCGCACTTGTAGGCCTCCCTGAAATTTTAGGGGTCATTCTATTACTACATTATTCATTATTGGTAAGGAATGACCTTGGTAGGGAGGGCAGTTTACCTCATTAACACGTGAGGATCGAAGTTTATTTATGTTTGTTTTCCCTCTTCCTTTTATTTGTGTTAATATTCCATAGAGTTATGCCTTTCTTTCATAATCCACGGGTTACACGCTTTTTCCTGCACTGCCAATCATGACTTTATAAAGGAACATACTTTTAGAAGCTATTTTTATATCCAAAAACACGCTCTATTTTTGCCTCTGTAAGGTCTAAAATACATGTTCGAAGCCTTTTTATACAAACCAAAGGGGCTGTAAATGAAAATGATGAAATTATCAAATAATGTTGCATACTATTCTGGGCAAAATGTATCAATAAGAAGTCTTCCAAAAAGTATGCTACAAATATTGTTCAATATTGTAAAATGGCAGCTTTGGTATATATTTTTTTATTTTGTTTATCTTTAACGGCCGACTTCTTGGTCCTTGTAAAAATTCATTTAAAAAAGATATTTATAAAAATTTCAAGTCCACAAATAGAAGTTGAATTATTATTAAGTACTACTATGAAAGAGTGCTAGTGACATAACTAGACTTTTTTGCTATAATAACGTCAAGGATAAAAATGAATTGAAACCATGATTTCGTTAGTGAATCCTACATTGATTCGTCGTAGGGCTGTTTGATAATTTTTAGGTTTTTAAATATGTTTTTAAGTGGTACAAATTGAAGGACTACCATGAAAGTAATGCAGTAAATTATTCATCACCATAAATGTACATATATAAAAAACAATAATAAGAATGTTGGCTTTTTATAGCTCAGACACGGGGCTGGTTCAGATTATTAAAATCAGAAGATATTATGATGGAAGCGCCAGACATGTTGAAAAAACACTTGAATGATGTAGAAAACTGTTTAATTAGGAAGATACTTGAAGGCTTAGACACAACCTAAGATGATTACAACTTTTCTCACCTACTTAATGGGCGCCATGAATACTCGGATAAAGGAGCAATACCCAAATCTTGTTACAATTCAGTGCTGGCGCCCCTCAAATTTATGTGCTTTCCCACAATAATTTATCATTAGTTCAAGTAGCAATTGGAGGGACTCTGATAGCAGCAACAACGGCAGCAAGGGAAACAATTGAAAAACCCCCTTACACAGCAAAAAAAAAAGAAGAAGAAAAAAGAACAACTAATAATCTCAGGCAATGAGAATGAAAAATGTTGTGGGGAAAGTGGCGCGGGACTGCCGCTTAGTCTTCCACTCGGCTGGCCGATCAGTCAAAAGGTGTCACAAATCATTCACCCCTCAAACACCCACAGTGGCAGCAAAGGTGACAGTGGAAATGAAATTAATGCGGCAGAAGAAAAATACACAGAAATTGAAATCGAAACAGTTGCTTGGAAAAATCAAAGAACTAAAACGCATACGCCAAGCCAAGCAATATATCGCTTGTACTTCCAGTGAAGTAGAACAGAAACAGCAACAGCAACAACAGCAAGAGCAAGAGCAACAGCAGCTGTAACACAATCCGTGTGCATCCACGAGATACCGAGATACTATGCGTAAGATGCACACGCAAAGGTGAACAAACTCTGTTGCGCATGCGCTACTGCCGCTGGCGTTCCTTAGAAGTTATCCTGTAGTTGCTGTCGTCAAATTTCAAAACATGAAAAATTAGTGCATTTCCGTCATAGATACTTGTGCTTAGATGCTGTATCTGCTGTATCTGTATCTCTGGGGTTGAATGACCCAAAAGACCAATAAGAGCTGATCCTGTCCCCCGGCCGCAGACTTGTTGGCGTTTCTTTGCGACCGATGTGTACAGTCGCAGTGGTCCGGCAATTGACAATTTCGCCACACTTTCGTTTCGACTCCTAATGATGCACTCCATCCAACCCATTTGCGGCCATATGGGCCATAAAATCGTCCATTAATTGCCCATCGGCAAGGCATCAAAGCCGTCTCGTTCGATGATGACTCGCTACTTAAAATTTAGTAATTGCTTGCAATAAAATTTTTATACTTTTGCTCGGGCCACGAACTGGAGCATTGTGGGTCCAGCGCCCAGTATATTTCATTTCTAGTGGCTCATCAGTCACTTTCTCCTGCGGTCTGTGCCTGACTGTTGTGTCTTTGTGGCCTGATCATAAAAGTCATATGAATATATTTATGTTCGTTGTCTGAACATTTTCGGTAAAATGTGCTTAGAATGTTTGTAGCAAATAGACAATGCCAGCTACTTTGGATTCCAGCTTGGCCGGGTTAGGTTTGGTTTTATTTGTAATTGTCCTTATTTCGGGAACGCTCAGCTTGGTAATTGTCCTTATTTCTGGAAGGTGGAGTTTGGAACACCTAGAGAGGCAATAAATCGTCCTTTTTTGAATTGAAAAGTTAAATTGTTTAAGCCAATCAAAAATATCATTCTGCTTGCACTGGGAGCTTGGAAGAGATATTAAAAATGTTAAATAAGATTCGAGAAATTTAAATATAGTTTAGAAAATATATCACATTATTAAATTATCAATAAATTTTATTATATTCATTATTACAGTAAATATTATTCACATGAATATTATATTTTCTAAATATGATGAGTCTTGGCCTGAAATTTATTCCTAGATCAAACTAATTAAATAAGCTTAAGTTCCATTTCGCTTTCCTAATTAATTGATTATTAATTATTATTATCTCTTTAACCGAAAGTGCAATGAAAAATTTATCAATTCAAGTAATTTCTTATAATTTGAATTTTTAGTTCATTTTTTGAGAAGAATTCATAATAATTTTTAAAGCCTTTTCAATCCCGGATTTACTAAATAATTTTCAAAGTTAGTGACAAGTGTGTTATGTATGTATATATACACCTAATTCTGTTTTTACAGGGTAGATTGGTTCCAGAAAATGTCGTGTAAAAAATCCATTAATCATATGTTATTTTGAATTGTGCTAAATGGAATAAAGTCGTGCAACCATATATAAATGTTTTAATTTTTAAAACGTGTTAAATAAAAACCGTATAAAAAAAAAAACCGTGTAAAACCAGAATTAGGTGGATAGTTATGTATTTAGTTGTTATACATATTGTAGAATACAAGTATAAGCAACATGTACATATTAGTCCTTAGCAACATCTTAATGGTAAGCAACATGTTTATATCATATTGCAACACAAAACACAGAATAAGCTGGACATAAGAAAAAGTGTGAAATAAAGATCAGTTGATTTGTGAAACGTAAAGTGTGTGCATGTGTCGCTGAGTTGGCTCTAACTGATTGATTTATTGCTCGTAAAATATGTTTAGATATACTGACAATTTACACATAATTTCAAATATATTGGCAAATATCACCTTACATAC